CTCTCAGCCTCCCTTCTGCCCAGGAGCACGCTGGAAATCCTGGGTACCTTTGAAAAATGCCTCTTCATCGCTTGTCTGATCAGTCCATGTAGCCTAGCTAATTCCCACTCACAGTGATGCCCCCTGGAGTGATAAATCCTAACAGAAGCAGACTGCCTCCTCTTTATCAGCAGAGTGATTCTAGTTGTTTATCCTTCAGTTAGTAGCTCAACATGGAACCTACTGTGCCATCAGGGCTCCTTAATCAAGGTATATCCTTGATTATATTAATCACTGAATAATCAGCAAATATTTACTGGCTACCTCGAACTCATCAGCTTCTCTTTAACCAGTTGTAACCAAAACACCACTTTAACAGTCCATCTCTTGCCTTAACTATTGTTATTTCCCACACCCACTTTGTCCCTCTAATCCTTCAGTGATTTCCCTTTGCCCATCACTATACAATTCCATTCACAATGGGGAGTCAAAAGACAGTTACTTTATCAGATGACTGGTCAGGAGCACTGTGGTGGAAAGGTGGCCCTCACCTGGAGAAGCATCCTGGGACACACGAAGTGAAAACAAGCTCGCTGCCATGCCAGAGCCATAGGAGAAGGCACCGATCCTGGAGCCAGCCAACTCCTGAGCAGAGTGCCTGCAGGGTAAAAAATCACAGCAAATGCATGCCAGAAGATCACGCTACACCTCAAATAAATAATCTGTGTTCCTGTTGAGTGAACTTACTTCATGCAACTATCAATGGTTTCAGGGCATTCTACATCTAGATTGACTTTGGGTCAACTCTGGGGGAAGGTGCAGAAATAGGAAACCTATCTAAGAAGACAGCTGATGAAATCTGAGGGGTAGAATGCATCTTGAGCACAGAGAATTTTGGTGTATAAATGGCATGGTTCCCCATAAATACAAGATAAATTCACTGGAATTTGAAAGTGCTTCCACATGGAGGCCAGATCACTAGAGCACCTTCATGTACCCACGTTGACTGGTCATGTTTCAGCTCCCACAACTTTTCCATCCTCCCCCAGCAGTGCGTGATCAAGTCCAATATATATATTTGTTTTCCTATGTTGTATACATATACTATTAAAACAAAAGCCAACTTACCACCAAGGCGATTCCAACTTAGGGTGACTCCACATGTATCAGAATAGAATTGTGATCACCAAGCTTTTTTCTGAGGAGTCTCTGGGTGAATCCAAACATCCAACCTTTTGGATAGTAGCCAACTTTGTACATTGTACTACAAAAGGACTCCTTTGTGGCCATACATTATAGCACAATTATTTCCTTATAAACCACACACGACAGAATATTGATAAAAATAACTACTGAAATAAACAATGAGAGACCTAACTAAATGGAAAAATGTTTCCTATTCATGACTAGGAAGACAACATAGAAAAAATGACAATCCTACCAAGAACAATCTACATGTTTAATGCAGTTCCAATACAGATACCAAATTTACTTTTCAAAGAGATAGAATAGACAACTGGCAAGTTTATTTGCAAAGGAAAGAGATTCTAAATAAGCAAAGCACTTCTGAAAAATAAAGACGAAGTGGGAGATACAGTATTCCCTGATCTCTAAATCTACTACACAGCTGTAGCACCCAGAACAGCATGGTGCTAGTATAATGACAGAAACATAGATCAACGCAACAGAATGGAGAATCCAGAAGTTAACTCATCTACCTATGGCCCATTGGTATTTGACAAGGAAATAAACCTACCAAATTGGAGAAACAACCTCTTCAAGAAATTATGCTGGCAAAACTGGACATACACCTGCAGAAAGCTGAAGCAGAATCCACATCTCACACTATTCACAAAAATCAACTCAGAGTGGATTAGAGAACTAGAGGTAAAGCCCTAAATCTTACAGATAATTAGAGATAAAATGGGAGCTCAGAAGGCCAGAAATGCAAACCCAGAAGAGGACAATATCAACAAATGGGACCTTCTAAAAATTAATTAAATCCATGTGCTCATAAATAACTTTTTCCAATAAGGTAAAAAGAAAACCTACAGACTGGAGATAAACATTTGGCAATGGAATCTCAGACAAGGTTTACAGAATTCTACAGGGCTGCCACAAGGGACATACTGATAACCCAGTCACAAAATGGACAAAAGATATATATATATATATATATAAAAGGGCGTACACCAGGGATGTGTCCTGTCTCCATACCTTTTCAACCTATATGCAGAACAGATTATCCAGGAGGCTGGGCTCTATGAGTAGGAATGTGGGGTCAAGATTGGTGAAAGATCTATAAACAATCTGCGATATGCAGATGACACAACCCTGCTTGCTGAAACTGAGGAGGACCTGAAGTGCTTGCTGCAGATTGAGGCTCAATGTCAAGAAGATAAAGATTCTAACCACTGAGCCAATTGGCAGCATCAAGATGGATGGTGAAGAGATTGAGATTGTTCACAGCTTTAATTTGCTTGGCTCCACAGTCAACACTCTCGGAACCAGTAGCCAGGAAATTAAAAGACGTATTGTGATAGGAAAGTCTGCTGTTAGGGACCTCTCCAAAGTACTGAAGATCAATGGTGTCTCTCTGGAGACTAACGTGCATCTGATACAGGCCATGGTCTTTGCAATCACTTGTTGTGCATCAGAGAGTTGGACAATTACTAAGGAGGATAGAAGGAGAATTGATGCCTTTGAGCTGTGTTGCTGGAGAAGAGTATTGAAGGTACCGTGGACTGTGAGGAAAACAAACAGATTCATCCTAGAAAGGGTCAAACAGGGCGGCTCCTTGGAGGCAAGGATTCTGAGGCTCCATCTAACATACTTTCAACATATTGTAAGGAAGGACCGGTCCTTGGAGAGGGACATCATGATTGGTACGGTGGAGGGACAGCGCAGGAGGGGAAGGCCCTCTATGAGGTGGATTGATTCAGTGACTGGGGTAATCAGGATGGGTGTATCAGAGATGGTGAGACTGGCACAGGACAGAGCAGAGTTTAGGGCTGTTGTACACAGGGTCGCTATGAGTCGCAAGCGACTCGACGGCACATAACAACTACATATATATGTATATACACACACATACATATATATATATGAATGAGTGTTTGAAATGCAATATGAATACAGGAATGTGTGAAACACATGTATATGAATGATACACAATGTAGACTAATTTTGTCTGTAAACCACTATAAAATAAAAGTGGGAAAAAATAAAATGACAGCTATTATTTAAATACCTGTTTGATGTTACTATCCGTCCTTGGGGGATGCACATGTTTAATACACTTGGCTACTACCTGAAAGTTTAGAGGCTTGAGAGGTTCCTTGGAAGAAAGGCCTGGTGATCTACTTCCAAAAACAGCCACTGAAAACCCTGTGGAGCATAGGTCTACTGTGACATCTGAGGTCGCCATGATTTGACTCCACTGTAACCAGTACAAAGACACTTGATGCTCACCACAACTTTATGAGGTACATATTCTCACAGGGAGTAGTGCTACTAATTCAAAGGTCACTGCTGGTTGGAATCCAACAGCAGTTTTGTGGAGGAAAGAAGAGCAATCTCCTTCTACATGATTTGTTATTGTTGTTGTTATGTGTCATCGAGTTGTTTGCGACTCATAGCAACCTTATGTACAAGAGCCCTAAACGCTGTTCTATCCTGTGCCAACCTCACTATCTTAAACACATTCATTCCCACCACTCCACTCACAGAATCGATCCATCTCATCGAGGGTCTTCCTCTCCTAGGCCGTCCCTCCACTCTCCCAAACATGATGTCCCTCTCCAAGGACCAGTCCCTCCTTGCAACATGCCCAAAGTATGCCAGATGAAGCTTCAGAATCCTTGCTCCAGGGAACATTCTGGCTTCACCCTCTCCAGGACAAACCTGTTTGTTCTCCTAGCAGTCCATGGTATATTCAACACTCTTCTCCAGCACCACA